ATTGTACGTCTAACTGAAACTGCTGCTCCTCTCCTAGGTGTCAGCACTAGAGAGAGCTAACAGGCCAACATGTGTGCCTGGATTTGAGTCAGAGCTGCTGGTTTTCAGAGTGTCCAGGGAACATCTGAGGCCGGGGATGAGGCTGGGCAAAGGTAAGAACAACCCAGTGTAGGCTAGTACATGGGTGCTTTTAAACGTGTTTTTGATTTGGATGTTAATGTTTTCTGCCTGGATGGTGCTTACTCTTAGTCATAATCTAAATGAAATTGTTATTGGGTATTTGTTTCTATTGTCTAGTATCATTTCACATGACAGATTTGTTTGTATGAAACTGTCGGAGGGTTTAGACCTGAGTTGCAGCCCTACATGGAATAACTCTGCTGTTGTAAAGGACTCCTCCAGCCCGGATGGCCTTCAGCAGATTAGCTGGGCACATTGTTCTTAGTTGAAACCCAAACATGTCTCAGCTTGCTCTTACTCTGCTTCTCTCAGTTACTTTTACCTGCTGGTCAGAGCACTATCCCCGAACCTGTTTTACAGGCTTTGCTATTCAAGTGAAACTCTAAAAAAGGAACTGTTTTCTTTGATTTCAGTTAACTGAAAGGTTTTTAAAAGCTTCTTATAAACAGACTTAAACAGTTTTTGTTTTTTGTTTTGTTTTGTTTCTTTAAATGGGCTGTGGTTATGCATGTTTGCTTTAACGTGAATATTCGTTTCTTTATCAATTGTCTCTACTGAATAACTAATTACCCACTTTGATGGGTTTTTTTTTAAGACACAAGCAATTTATGATAATCAGATTAAAACGCTGTGTAAATGTATGTACAGCTTTACCTTGTTTATTTATTTAGGAAAATATTGCAGAAATCTATATCTGGACATCATATGCCAGTTTGTCCTTTTTCAATACAATTCAGTAAAATGTCATTAAGAGTAGATGCCAACAGGGTCCTAGAGTAGGTGCCAAAAGTACTGCAACCTAAAAAACTAAAAATCAAGTTGAGTCGCGCTGAGTTAGCACTAGTGAGAAAAGGCTGTAGTGAACCAAACACTTACTCCACAATACTTCTATAAGGAGCAGTGAATAATGGGTAGAATAGCTGGTTCG